GGCGACTTAGCAGCGCTTCTAAGCAGAAGGACAGGACGCAGTGCAGCGCTGCTAAACCATGCTAAACAGACCAGTATGAAGGGGCAGTTACGAGTATTTACTTTGAATTTTGCAAGTATAAGCATTTGCTTACTTTTATTCATACGGGCCCATGTTTGAACTTCAAAATGTCAGTCTTACTACGCTGCCAACCTAAAATTTAACGGCATAAAAAGTGTTCCCAACATAAAACATGTTTAGTTCTAATGTTCCCTATAGTTTCTGATAATGATTTTTTAAATTAAATTAAAGCACCGAAATAGAAAAAATAGTATGAAAAACGCGTGTCACAATGCTTTATTGTAATACTCCTATCTTGCGGACACTCGTGGCTACGCTTCGCGTCGCCACTCGTGCCACAAGATAGTCGTATTACAATAGGTCGCATTGTAACACTTGGCTTTCAATATACTATTTTCCCGAAATCGTCATTACTTTTTCTGCCTCATGTTCCATTACCACGTCCTGTCACAGCTGGCACATTAATACTTATAAAAATTTCTATATGAAAATTGGAATTTTAGATTAAAAATATACGATTTCGGGAAACCTGTAATACAAAACTCGTCAATAGAACAGTACTACATACTTGAGTAGCAATGTCTCATTTTCCTGGCTTGTGTAAGTAACTATTTTTTTCATTAAGATGTCGGCCTACTGCAATGCTGATCGGCTGCAATGTAAATCCAAAATTCTTGCATTTCTCCTTTCGTCTATTGACAGTTTCCTTAACCAATTTGGTAATTCATGGTATAAGGATTTTGTATATTGTAGGAAGGCATATTTAGATGGATGTTGTGTATGGTTGTCTTTTGGGAGCATATTGTATTGAATGCACTTTAGTTTAGTTTAATGAATGGTAGGCATAGAGTTAAACATGAAAAATGTTCTATTAACACTCTTGAATCTATCGCTAGATACCTGGAGACATCCTTACAATCAGAGCTGGGCAGTATTCGATTTTGTAAATACTTTTTAGTATTCAAATACTTTGTAATTAAATACTTTTATGGAAGCAGTATTTGTATTTGTAACTCAAATACTTTCACAAATATTTAGTATTCGAATACTTCGCAAGGTACCTATTTGAATACTTTGAGAAGTATTCGAATACTTCGCATAGTATTTGAACCTTCCTTTTTTTTTACCAAAAATCGACTACTCCAAAATTTCCGGGAAAACACTTTTTCTCCTTAATTTTGGTGCGTATAATCCAAAATAATTCGTACTTTTTCGGTTAGACCTCTCAATCAAAAGTTATAGACCAGAAACCAATTTCGAAAAAAAATTCAAAGGGCTGTAACTTTTGAAGTAGTAGCTCAATCTTGGAACTGTTTGAAATTATGGATTCTACAGGCCACATTCTATAAGAAAACTTTTAATCCGGGTCGATTTGAGACAATTTTTTTTTCGTGCCTCAAAAAAAGGCAGTGTACAACCTTCCTTTTTTACCAAAAATCGACTGCACCAAAATTTCTCGGGAAAACGCTTTTTCTTATTAATTTTGGTGCGTAGAATCCAAAACAATTCGTACTTTTTCGATCAGACTTCTCAATCAAAAGTTAGAGACTAGAAACCAATTTCGAAAGAAAATTCAAAGGGCTGTAACTTTTGAACTAGTAGCCCAATCTTGGAACTGTTTGAAATTATGGATTCTACAGGCCACATTCTATAAGAAAATTTTTTTCCGGGTCGATCTGAGACAATTTTTTTTTCGGGGCTCAAAAAAAGGCAGTGTATAACCTTCCTTTTTTACCAAAAATCGACTGCACCAAAATTTCTCGGGAAAACACTTTTTCTTATTAATTTTGGTGCGTAGAATCCAAAACAATTCGTACTTTTTCGATCAGACTTCTCAATCAAAAGTTATAGACTAGAAACCAATTTCGAAAAAAAATTCAAAGGGCTGTAACTTTTGAACTAGTAGCCCAATCTTGGAACTGTTTGAAATTATGGATTCTACAGGCCACATTCTATAAGAACATTTTTCCGGATCGATTTGAGACAAATTTTTGTTCGGGGCTCAAAAAAAGGCAGTGTATAACCTTCCTTTTTTACCAAAAATCGACTGCACCAAAATTTCTCGGGAAAACACTTTTTCTTATTAATTTTGGTGCGTAGAATCCAAAACAATTCGTACTTTTTCGATCAGACTTCTCAATCAAAAGTTATAGACTAGAAACCAATTTCGAAAGAAATTCAAAGGGCTGTAACTTTTGAACTAGTAGCCCAATCTTGGAACTGTTTGAAATTATGGATTCTACAGGCCACATTCTATAAGAAAAAATTTTTCCGGGTCGATCTGAGACAATTTTTTTTCGGGCCTCAAAAAAAAGCAGTGTATAACCTTCCTTTTTTACCAAAAATCGACTACACCAAAATTTCTCGGGAAAACACTTTTTCTTATTAATTTTGGTGCGTAGAATCAAAAACAATTCGTACTTTTTCGATCAGACTTCTCAATCAAAAGTTATAGACTAGAAACCAATTTCGAAAGAAAATTCAAAGGGCTGTAACTTTTGAACTAGCAGCCCAATCTTGGAACTGTTTGAAATTATGGATTCTACAGGCCACATTCTATAAGAAAATTTTTTTTCCGGGTCGATCTGAGACAATTTTTTTTCGGGCCTCAAAAAAAGGCAGTGTATAACCTTCCTTTTTTACCAAAAATCGACTGCACCAAAATTTCTCGGGAAAACACTTTTTCTTATTAATTTTGGTGCGTAGAATCCAAAACAATTCGTACTTTTTCGATCAGACTTCTCAATCAAAAGTTATAGACTAGAAACCAATTTCGAAAAAAAATTCAAAGGGCTGTAACTTTTGAACTAGTAGCCCAATCTTGGAACTGTTTGAAATTATGGATTCTACAGGCCACATTCTATAAGAAAATTTTTTTTCCGGGTCGATCTGAGACAATTTTTTTTTCGGGGCTCAAAAAAAGGCAGTGTATAACCTTCCTTTTTTACCAAAAATCGACTGCACCAAAATTTCTCGGGAAAACACTTTTTCTTATTAATTTTGGTTCGTAGAATCCAAAACAATTCGTACTTTTTCGATCAGATTTCTCAATAAAAAGTTATAGACTAGGAACCTATTTCGAAAAAAAATTCAAAGGGCTGTAACTTTTGAACTAGTAGCCCAATCTTGGAACTGTTTAAAATTATGGATTCTACAGGCCACATTCAATAAGAAATTTTTTTTTCCGGGTCGATCGGGCCTCAAAAAAAGGCAGTGTATAACCTTCCTTTTTTACCAAAAATCGACTACACCAAAATTTCTCGGGAAAAATTCAAAGGGCTGTAACTATTGTGTTACTGTAGTGTAAAGTTAGCGCAGAACCTGGGTGTTAAGTACGCGTTTTCTCCTAAGAAGGCCATGTAAATTCGGACTCCTCGAAGTGCTTTAGACGATGCATATAAGTGCTAACGTACCCAAAAATCGAGTATAGGCCTTCCGCAGTTTTTTTAAGTATCATTTACTTCTAGGAGGAGGAGAATGAAGCAGTGGGAAAAAATTACGATTTTTAGTTGTTGGATCAAGATTTTATTCAAATTTTCCAGAACCGAGTTTGAGTCAATCATGTTCACGTTCAAAGGTACCCAATTTCGTCCAGACCTAATCTTCCACTGCGAATTATGTTTCCTTGGAAAAGAGATAAGTAAATTTTTCTTGAATCAGCGTTTTTGTAGACAACCTTAATTAACGAAATAAAATAGAGAGAGGGGATGAGCTTTGCGTAAAATCAAGAAAGTCTAGTTGTGGCATCCGAAGAGTTTGGTCAATATGGCGTTTAGTACAGCGGCTTATTAGAGCCTAAATAATTCCATTTGGCATTCGGGAAAACCGAGCTTTGAAGAAAAAGTTTATCCGACAAACAATGTCCATTTTATGCAGTAGGGAATTTATCATTTTGTTTGTTGTTTTAACTGTTAAAGAAAATTTCATTGATTACATAATTGGCACATTAAAATAAATTGTTAACTAAGTAATCTTTCAACATCTCCTTGTAAAATGGTTAATTAACGTTCGTCTATCGGTTTAATGTTCTTTACACCCTTTAGAATTAAATATGTGATCACCAGTTTCGGACCTGTACCTTAAAATTACTGAAAGTGTTCAAGTTTTACTTGTAATCGATTAATCTCATAATATTTTAGTAATCTGCTGAAGATTGCAGTGCCACAACGTCCAAAAAAACTATAATATCCCGTCTAAAGCGAAATTGCGATAAAGAAAACTGGGAGCAAAGTTACATAATATTTTTGTGCCGCTAAAATTGAAGTTAATCAATGTGAAAGGTTTATTAGCAAATTTTCAGAGATTACATAATTGACACATTAAAATAAATTGTTAACTAAGTAATCTCTCAACATCGCGTTGTAAAATGGTTAATTAACATTCGTCTATCAGTTTAATGTTCTTTACAGCCTTTAGAATTAAATGTTAACTTGGAGAGTTGCCGAATTTTTGATAAAATAAGGAGAAATACAACTGAAAATTAACTAATTCGTATATCATTAGATGAGAAAAAAGTCTTCTTTCGATTGGTGTCATTAAAAAACCCCAACCAAGATGATGAATTAATTGAGTCTGAAGTCTAGACATTCTAAGCTAAATATACATTACATAGTGAATGTGCTTTAAAGAAACTGACGTACTCGAGCCTTTTTTTAACTTTTATATTTATATTTATAAGCGGCGTATTGCAAATTAATTTCTGAAACCAAAACCGACAATTGATGTACAACTAACTAACTGTTTATGTTTCAAGTCTTCAGCGTAATTATCCATCACACTAATCATCGGCGTAATTATTAAATAACAAGTCGCATGCGCTTCAGGCGTACTAAAACATCCGTGGAAATTGAAACTGAACGCGAGCGTCTCGACGCTCATCCGCGTGCATTGTATGCTTGACGCAACAACTACCCTTAGCGCAGAGCGCGTTTTCCCACGTACGAGTTTAGACCGATACTCGTGAGAAACTTGTGCAAAACTTTTCCAATTAAAAAAAAGAAAATGTGATTCGATTATCACGCAATAATTTTCGCGTATTTTATCATGAATGCGTCTTCGCCAAGCGCCCTTGCGATAGAGACCTTTTGTGAACTTAAAACGTTTTACAATGCGTACAGGAGTATCCACGGTTATCTAAGCATAATGGTGTGTGTCTTTGGATCAGTCGCCAATATTTTGAATGTATGCGTTTTGAGCAGGCGAGAAATGCGCTCGCCTACCAATTCGATTCTGCGAGGATTAGCTGTTGCGGATTTACTAGTGATGATTGAGTACATTCCCTTTTCGTGTCATGTTTACCTAGATCCAGACGCGAGGTCCACGGCGAACTATTTTTCGTACGGCTGGGCGCTTTTTATGACTTTCCACGCGATGTTCGGCCAAGTTTTCCACTTCATCTCAATTTGCTTAACGGTGATTTTGGCGATATGGCGCTTTATAATTATAACGACGTCGCACAAAAACAAAGGTTGGTGCACGCCACGAAGAACCGCCGTCACCATAATTCTCACCTACTTGTTGTGCCCGCTCGTCTGTCTACCGCTGTACATTTCGCTAGAGATCACAGAGCAGGCGACCCTCGTTAACGCTTCAGGAAGAATTATTCCCAAAAGGCTTCTAGCAAATTACACCGAGGAAAAATACAACGCGACGCTGTACGTGTTAAATTACGGAAACTTTAAGGAAGTGAGCTTTTGGGTTTACGGCGTAGTAATAAAGCTCGTCCCTTGTATTTTATTAACGATATTATCACAGCGAATTATATCGGCTTTAATTGAAGCGAAGCAGCGAAGAAGAAATCTTTTGGGAAGTAACGCGAAGCCAGCGAAGCTAGCGAGACAAAATAAGCAGCAGCAAACGGATCGGACTACTAAAATGCTACTGGCAGTTCTACTCCTATTTTTAATTACAGAGTTTCCGCAAGCCATACTCGGACTTCTTAGTGTTTCGATCGGTCCCGAATTTGAGATGCAATGCTACAATCCTCTAGGTAAGAGCAATTTCATATGCTACTCACGTGATTGATGGCGACGTCTAAATCTTATGTTAGTCTACCAAACTAAACAACATTAATCAAGTTTGGGGTTGAATTCAATCTCCTTCAAGGTTTGCCTTAAGCACCCCTCAGGGTGCACTGAAAATTGGATACCGCTTTAGTTACTAAATAAATTACAAAGTGACTAACCTTTCACGAAGTTCATTCAATAATGCTTTGTTGTAGGTACATATTTCATTTTTGTTTATTAATAATAAGCAACCCTTAGAAAGAGAAGATTATGTAATATTTTCACCTTATATACAATAGGAATTTCGGAAAAGTACCGAATTCTTTGCAAAAGAACTGTGTAAAGAAAATTTTAATTGGAAAATTCTTGTAACAAAGCCACTAAGAAACCACAATAAAACTTTAATAACTCGTAAGAAATATACACAATCATGGAAAGCTTTTTGGGCACTCCACAGTTGCGATTTATATTAAAATACTAACAATCCTACAGCGTAATTAATTCCTGCTTTAGATATATTCTGAATTTCCTTTTTTATTATACAGGGTAAAAAATTGAGCGGAATCAAAATAAGCACTTTTTCCAAATAAACCGAGAGACAAAAACAAACGAAAATATAACTTTTTATTTCAATAAGTGTCAAAATGTTGTCCGTTATTGGCCAAACAATGGCGATGTTCAAATTCGTGATGGACATTTTCAAAAACATATTGTGGGATAACATGATAGCTTTCATCCAAACTTTCAGGTTAATATAAATTAAATTAACTGACAGCAAATTAAATACTTTCTTTCCAATAGCAACAAATAAGTGATATTCTCGTTTATTTTGTGATATCAAAAGTTTTTAAATAGCTCGTAAAACGGATATAATTGTTGAATTGATTCACAGTAGTAGGGGAAGGATTAGGGCTAGGGGAGTTTCTTAAGAATCGTACAAATTGCTTACCTTTATTGAATCACAAGAACAAAAAATTGTATTACAGCTCAGTCCATTCAGAGTTTCCGAGGCCGTCGTAACGAGTGGTCGATCGCGATTATAAGTGTCAAATAAGAATAGAACTAATTTGTTAACATAAACTAAATCGTGAGGGTGAGCACCACCCTTACTTGCCGCCGCAATGCCAACTGCTATCTGTGGTGTTTGTCGGGTGGATCTTCATCGTACAGATAAAGTTATTCTTTGTGCTAGTTGGTGCCAAACCTACTTTCACACGAAGTGCGTTAAAGTCAGTGACGATGAGGTTAAATTTATTAATTCAAAAAAGAGCTTTAATTGGTTCTGTGACCTCTGCGCTATCCACGAATCACACAGCCTCAGGAATATCTTGACTAACATTAACAAAGTGACGATGAACTGGGACAGAGTTATGGAAAGTCAGCACGAGAAACTGATGAACCATGAGAAGCTATTAAAGGATACTTTAGACCAGGTAAATACCCAAAATGTCAGCATCAGCAAGGATCTAGCGCAAGTTCTCCAAACTCAATCTGAAGTGAAGCTTACGTATGCGGACAAGATGAAACAGAAAACCTATGACCCAGTTATCATCGTTAAGCCCAAGGACGCGAACCAACCCTCCAAGAAAACCTTCACCACCCTCAAAGAAAATATCGATCCAATTACCCGAGAAGTTACCGGAATGAAGACTCTACGTAGAGGAACCATTGTTGTTGAATGTAAAAATAAAAAAGCTGCAGCCAAACTTAAGGAGGAAGCCGAAACGAAACTGGGATCCGACTACATTCTTTCATTACCGAAACAGAAGATGCCGAAGATTAAAATCGTAGGCCTCAATGACAAGATCGGGAGTACCCAAATGAAGGAAATGATTCTTGCGCAGAATCAATTCCTCGACGAAGCCGCGTACATAAACGTCGTACACATAACGGAAGATAAAAGAAATCCTAACAGGTATTTGGCTTACGCTGAGGTTGACGGTAATAGTTACCGGAAAATTCTAAGTGAACAGAAGCTCAACATAGGGTGGGACCGTTGCAGAATTTATGATGCTGTGACAACTAGAAGATGCTACAGTGCAATGGGTTCGGACATAAGGCAACTGACTGTAGCAAAACTACTACCTGCCCCAAATGTGCGGGAGACCATGACCTAGCGAGCTGTAAAGCTTCGGACGCGGAAATTAAATGCAGTAACTGTGCCAACGCCGTTGAGAAACTAAAAATGAAACTGGATGTACAGCACCCGGCCTGGAGTGTTGATTGCCCAGTCTACAAAAAACGACTCGATCAAGAAAGAAGCAGAATTGATTTTTTAGGCCATCCCCAACACTAATCAAGCAAGGAAATAGGTACGGATCAACGCTCTCAATCTATTATCAGAACGTAAGTGGAATGCGAACGAAAGCGCAATCTTTCAAAAATAAATTGGCAATTACAAATTACGACATTATTCTACTGACTGAGACCTGGTTAACGGAAAATTTTCATGACGCTGAGTATTTAAACAATCAATATGCGGTCTTTCGCAATGACCGTAATTACGAAGAAATGAAGTGCACCATGGGAGGCGGAGTTTTAATCGCAGTCAAGACCGATTTGAATGCTGAAAAATTGGAATTTCAAAGTGATCTAAATGAAATATGGGTCAAACTTAAAATTAATAATACTTCATACATTATTGGTGTTGTCTACTTTCAACCGAAATCTGGTATTGATAAGTACGTGAGTTTTACCAAAAGTTTAGAAACAATTGAAAACATGTTGCATTCATCGGAAGTGTTAATAGCAGGCGATTTTAACCTACCACAAATTGTTGACGCCACGTATAATTTCGAAAACGCGAGTGCTAAATGCAAAGTAATTAAAAATATAGCTTCGATGTACAACTTAAAACTCATTATTATAGTTAAAAACTGCAATAATAGAACCCTTGACCTAATTTTAACTAACTTAAACGCGGAAATTAAATCTGCGATCGACTCACTGGATAAAATTAATCCACTTCATCCTGCACTAGAAATAGTCTACAAAGTCCATAGACCAGCTAAGCGAATTACTAAATTAACCAACTTCAATTTCAAAAAAGCGGATTTTCTTAAAATGTACGTCCTTTTTCGCGATATTAATTGGAAGGAGTCTCTTATCCTGAAGAATTTCAAATCGGTAGATGATGCAGTAACTAGCTTTAATCAAACGGTAATGAACATTTTCGATGAATGTGTCCCCAAAGTTACAATTAGGAGTGCCAATAAGTATCCTAGCTGGTTTAATATAGACATTATTAAGAAAATCAGACAGAAAAATAAGTTTCGGTTACATGGCCAATCGGAAGACTTCATTGAAGCCAGAAAAGAACTCAAAAGAATGATCCACATTGCTCATAAGAGGTGCATTAATCAAATTGAAATGGATCTGCGGAAGAATTCCAATAAATTCTGGAACTACATCAAGTCGTTGAGGAAGAATAGTCAACTACCTGGAGTTTTTGAGTACAAAGACACCTCGTTAACGGACGCCAGAAGCATTGCGGACGCCTTTGCATCCTTCTTCGAGTCAGTCTACACTGTTGAGAGGAACGATGACCCGGAAGATGACGTGGAATCGGACCTGGTGTTATCCAAATTGCACTTGACTCAGTTACATGAATCCGAGATACTGGAAGCAATTAAAAAATTGAAACCGAGGTCGGCTATGGGCGAAGATGGAATCCCACCCTACATCGTGAAAGGATGTGCATCTTTATTGGTAACCCCCTTACTACATCTATTTAATTTAGCTTTGCAAACATGTACATTCCCTGAAGCTTGGAAATGCACCAGAATAACACCAATTCACAAAAGTGGAAGCCGAAAATTAGTTGAGAATTATCGCCCAATTGCAATTATACCAGCAATAGCGAAAATTTTCGAAAGAGTGATCTACTAGACTTTATTCCCATCTCAGCAGTATAATTGCAGATCAACAGCACGGTTTCAAGCGGAACAGATCAACAATTACCAATTTAATGCAGTTTGCGCATTTCTCAGCAGCAGCCTTGGATGAGAGAGCCCAGGTAGACTGTGTTTATACAGATTTTGCGAAGGCATTTGACACAGTATCCCATCAAGTTTTGCTCCGTAAACTTGTTTTAAATTGCGTAAGTAATCCGACCGTCAAATTCCTGAAATCATATTTATCTCTCCGTAAAACAAGAGTGAAATTCAATGGTGTGAATTCAGCCGAATTTTATCCCTCATCAGGCGTTCCCCAGAGAACACTTCTTGGTTCTTTTCTGTTTCTCTTATACATAAATGATTTACTGCGAGTGATAAAAAACTTGAAAGCACTACTATTTGCGGACGACCTAAAACTTTTTAGTAAAGTCCAATCGGCAAGTGACTGTTTAAATATTCAAGAGGACATTAACTCAGTAATTAAGTGGTGTATCAAAAATAAACTAAAACTAAATATCAATAAGTGTAAAGTCCTTACTTTTACTAGATCGAAAAATCCCTTACTTTTTGACTATAAGATGAATGGAAAGGTCTTTCTAAGAGTCACCTCCGTTAAGGACCTGGGCGTGTTTTTCAATACCAACCTTAACTTCAACTCACACATTGAATACCTAACAAATGAGTGTTACAAACTTCTTGGTTTCGTTATCCGAAATACACTCAATTTCACGAATATACAGACAATGCTAACCTTATATAATGCGTTTATTAGATCCAAGCTTGAGTATGCTGCATGTATCTGGTCTCCTCAAACTCTCAAATACTCAGACATGATCGAAAAAGTGCAGAAAAAGTTCATACGAGTAATGTTTTTTAGGTCAACCCAAAATTATCCACATTTGATCTCTTACGGTACCCAGCTTAATTACTAAATAGTACTTTCGGCTTAAATATAACGAGGTTAGAAACCCGACGGTACATTGCCTCCACAATTTTTGTCTTCAAAATTTTACACAATTTGTTAAACTCTTCCGAATTACTTCAAGAAATTAAGCTTAAGGTACCATTTGTTAAGCTAAGGCAAAATAATACTATTTTTGCAGTTAACAACACAACTTCCCCACTTATTAAGATCTTGATCACTTTAAATAAGTTGTCCTCAGTTAATGATATCGACTTTTTTCACGATCCCCTAAATTCAATAATACATAAAATTAGATGTTAAGTCCTAATATTTGTTCAGAGCCCCAGTGCCATGTAATTGGAATTTTTATTCTGTATGGTTTCTGGTTAAACAAATAAATAAATAAAAATAAATTCTTCTGGAAGCTTATTGCAAATTTTAGAAATCATCTTTCTCGAAACATTAGAAGTGTTCGTGAGAAACCTTTTATCTTCATTGAAAAATGCTTTGAGCATCCTCTCATATTAACAGCATCAAACGAATCTTCCACCACTTCTGCAGTCTTTTCAGTTGACAAACGCTACGGTACCACTCTTCTTTGGGTTTACTTCAACCCAAACATATCCTACAAAACAACATCTACTAAATTAAATTAAGTAACTATTTTTTCTTTTACTGTTTCTTATTGACGTTAAGCTCTTAAAAAAAATTATCTTCATTTGGATGCTGAGAGGGTTGTAGAAATTTAGTTATTTTGCAGTAAACTGCACTGAAGAATAGGAATTAAAATTGAAAAAGGTTTATAGTCGAAGCAATATAGGTACAAAGTTCGTTCAAAGATAGGGTAATGCTGGAACTTAGTTTGATTGACATAAATATATTATTTGATTTAGAACTTCCATCCAACTTCTCAAAGACCAATTTGTAATAGATAACACGAGTAGAAGGCCGGATAAGTCCTTCAAAGTTTTCAACAATACATTATAAAGTCAGATCGCGTAAAATTTGTTTAGAAAACCACTTTGGGAGAGAGGTAGGTATTATAGTAGTTTCGACTTCGGAAACTCGGTTAGGTAAGTTTGTGATTTTGAATTAAAAACGTTTTCCAAGCTTCGATGAAAACATCATTTCTCTGCACCTCAATTACCTCACAAATATAAACTCGATATCTGCACCTCCGATTTAAATACTTCAGAACATACAGTGCTGTTTATTAAGAAGTAGATATTCGAATTTATATATTGCTTTTCCCTATGTCTACTTTTAAATGACAAAGTCCCTTCTGAAGGGCGCCTAATATTATGCAACCAAAATAAACAAATAAAGATCTGGTTGTCACATTAATTAATTTTAATATTGTTGCTATGGGCGAGTGCGATGGGAATTTTCTAGTGAATTTCCTTACATTAATTTCGAGCATTCTGCCGGCTACTCCGAATTAGGTTTTCTTGCAGTTTTCCTATTTCGTAAGGTAAATACTGGAGTAGTATAGAACAATTTAAGACCTTCTGCAGGGGCACCTCTAAAAAGCATTATGCGGGTCACTGCAATTGGGCACAAGCCTGTTGAGGGTCCAGAACAAGATAATAGATATCACTGTACTTTTATACAATAAAATGATTGTTAGCGTCATTGTATACCATTGGAAAAAAGATCAATTTTTATTCTTAATTTGACAATTTTGCCCCCTTCAAGCACCCTAAATAAATAAATAAATAAATAAATAATCTTTCGCGAGACGGGCTGCGCCAAAATCGCAATTATAGAAAAAAATTCTCATGCCGTACTTTCGTTTATGTTCGCTATGAAGAGGTACATGTGTACATTTCCCTATGTTTACCAAAATACTCAAAACCAAGTCTTTGAACACGGCTAAAGCGACTACCTGTTGCAAAAAGAATGTGAAATTTGAATTGAAACTACAATAAACAAGTTTAGTTATTGTCGACATGCGTTTCATCCTTTTTCATATACAAAAAAATCTATTGAGTTATAAAGTTAATGCTTGTTAGACAGTAAAATTAATTAGAAATTGGTTGCTTCCCCCTTACTCCGTTTTTCAGGCGGATAGTTTAAATAAAATAAAATTAAGAACGTCTAAAAAAGCTTCAAAAGGTGAATTTCGCGTAATAATGACAGGAAAATATCATAATTAAGAACGTGGTTATTATGGAAAAGTGAAACTCATTAGGCAAAGATTCGAATTACTTTAATGTGTACTTAAAATAACTTTGTTATAGAACTTCGCAAAAGTTTAGTATGAAATCCGAATATTCGCACAGTTTGTTACGTTCACTTTGGGCAAAAGTAACAAAAT